TAGTCCCAGCTACTCAGAAGGCTGAGGCAAGACAATCACTTGAGCCCAAAAGTTTGAGGTTGCTGTGAGCTGTGATGCCACAGTGCTCTACTGGGAACAACAAAGTGAGACTCTGTCTCAAAAACAAAGAAAGAAAAAAATTTGTGATAGAATTTTATTAACACTGCTCTCAAACAAGTTTCCCATGACAGAAATCTGGACAGCAAGAACCCTAGATTATTTGATTTTTTTTTTTTACATGTTCTTTAAAACACTGTGAAGATTAAAAAAACAATTTCTGTGGACTGAGTGCATCAGCACTTGGAGTTCTCCTGCTCTGGTGAGCGTTCATCAATATTTTGCTACAACCAAGTCAGTCCCCTGGGTTTTTAGACGGCTCTTTGATTTCTGTTCCAGTCAGACCAGCCCCTCCCACAGTTAAACCACACCAACCATCTGAATGACAGCTCCCACAGTTTTCTCAATGTTCACATAATCATAATTAAAATACACAAATAGTCTTACATAACAGACTCTCCTTGCTCTTTGAGTCTTGTAACGTGGCTCTCTTATGTATTACCATTACCCCAGATACTGCTTTTTTGCTGAAATATGACGTGCATAAGTCTTGTCAAGTCACCAGGTACGGTGTTAACTCATTCATCTTACTAACCGCAGTGTATATCACGCACAGCCGCGTCACTCAGTCACCCATTGGCTTTTCCTCCAGTTTTTGAAAGTTTGCTGCAATAATTAGCCTTGTTCAGTCAGCTTTATTTACTGATCTTTTTATTTCTAAGAAAGAGGTTCCCAAGAGAAGACTTTTTGGAACAAAAGATAAATGTATACGCATGTATTTTTTTCACTTTAATAGATATTGCCAGAATTATTTCTAAAAGTGCCAAGATAATTCACATTTTACCATTAATTTTTACAAATATCTCCAAAATAAATATCTGTAGAAGCCCTGTTTATTCTATTTCATCTTAGAGCTATATATCTATGTGTGTGTGTGTGTGTGTGTGTATGCATTCATGTGCAATTTAAAATAGACAATTGCACACAAACTGTATGGCCACCCTGTTTATATATATATCCTTTGAACATCAGTAAGTTACTTAACCAAACCTCAATTTCCATATTTTAAAATCTTTTAGTAAAGCTTCTCTTTGCTATTCCGTAATAGTCTTACAAAACTTTAGAAATAAAAAGAAAAAGATAGAGCCTCTCAATAAAGCCATACAATTGGCAATATTGTTTTCATTTCAGAAATAAAGGCGCTTATGTCACAGAGCTTTCAAAGCTACAGATCAAGACTTGAACCAACATGTTTAGACTTGTTTCTTTAGTTCACTCTCTTTTGAGCAGCAGACTCAAAGGCAGACTTCTTGTTTATGCATCAGTTCAGGTGCTCTGAAAAGTAAAGGCTAAACTGAGATTAAACGTGAAGGAGGCTTATGGAGAAAATATCTGGAAAGAATAGAGGGACAGAGAGAAGGAGCGGGAGGCAAGGACCATTAGAACACAGACCGCAGGTGTGACGCCCATGAAAGGGAAATAAGGAAGGATTAAGCAGGAAGAGACCAGGGTTTCAGGGAGCTCTGCAACTTCCCGCCAAACCATTGGGGAGCCCCCAGGCAATGGTTTCCGGTTAAAAGCATCCAGCATCAGGCATTAACACCTTCATGTTACCTGCCAAATGCACATTTAATGAGACTACTATTAATTCAATATCACATGTCACAAATAACATCATGGACATCTTTAGGACCACACAACTGCCACGTGTATCTCCTTTAGACTAGTCACAAGTCTGCCTGGCTTAGCTAAGGAGGGAAAGTTAGAACTGAACCTCGTCACGTGGGGATGCGCCAAGCATCTGTCCCAGGAAGTGCTACGAAAGCATAAAAATAAAGCATTGATTGCTGTCTGCACAGCAACACGTCTGCCGCTGAATAACAAGAGAAAGATTGTATGAATAATGCTCTTCTTTGGGAAGTCATTTTGTGAAGCAATTGATGTTTTCAAAGACTTTATGCATTTGTACATTCTAATGTATGTAATTTACCTGTTAAAATCACACACATACTATTTATAGATAGTATGAAAATTATATCAAGTATTCATCGGTGAAAAGACAAAATATATCAACTTCATCTAACAAGGAATAATGTTTCTTATTCTTCATCGTTGCCAGACACTGTGCCAAGGGGTTTTCCAAGATTATGTCTTTTAATCTTCACAACCACCTGTGAGTTAGGAACTAGCATTATCTCTGTTCTACAGGCTTACAGAGGTGAGGAAAGTTACTGAAAGTCGAACAGATTTCAAGTGGCCAACCCAGAATTCAATCTCAAAAGTCTGACCCTGTCCCCAGACTAAGGCCTGCACTTGCAGTCACCAGGCTCTGCTGTCCTTGCCAAAGATTGAGATAAGTTACTTATTTGCTTTGTAAGGAAAAATATAAGGTAGAGTTCTACAAAATGTCCATCCAGTTCAGTTTTTGAATCTCTCTGAGGTTTTATTAGGCATCTTTTGAGCCACAGCACAATTATTTTGTTGTTTTCAGTCTTAGGAAGCAGAGCCAAATGGTCCAAATTTCTCTTAACCATCTGTGCTTGGGGTTTCGTGGGGCTTTTTTCTTTTTTGAAGGGGAGAGGCCTACATTTTAGTTACATTGTCTATAAAAATTACCTACCAGAATAATGAATTGAGAAATCTACTTAATACCCAGAATCATAAAACGGAACATACAGCGCAGTAAACACAACTTCATCAACTGACAAGAATCTGACTTGCGAGTTAGAGTGAAGGAATCTAGTCCAAGGCAATTGAAACAAGTTTTCTTTTCAATAAAATTTAACCATATAAAATAACAGACTGTCTTTGAAAAATGTACACGTGGAGGAAAAGAAATATAAAATACGAGCATTCTCTCCACCTGGTAATTTGCATCATTATTAGACATTAACTGTAGCTTTGATAAGTATGCATTGTTACTTACTATATGCTTATCGCATGCATATGTACCATTTAAAGGTTTGCCTACATCCTTAATTTGAGTGAAATTCAAATTATAATCATTGTTCAATTAAGACAATCGCATTTCCTAGGATGGTAGCTCGC